TGTCGTCAAGAGAGCCCTCGCGGAAGTCTTTCTTCAAAGTACCAGGAACATCTTGATAAAACCCAAATTGGCGACTGAAACGATGAGGACTATATGGCTCAATGAAAAAGAGATTGCCTTGGCGCCATGTAAGGTAGTTAGACCGAATCGCCGTGAAGTACCTCCATTCGTATCTAGGCCTTCGTTGATCATCGACGTACCGGGAAGTCTGGTCCTTGATGATGATATTGCAAGTCCATGAAGCGGAGTCCCCCTTGTGGATACGTCTAGGGGCTTCCTCGGGGACAAAGTGTCTTGCGCCATTCTCACCGGAATATGTCACCATCAAAGGCTTTGGCGTTTGACCAATTGTGAAGTGAGTTTTAAAGTAGAGCGCCAGCCAGCTATAAATGAAGTGGACGGGAAATGTCGATCGAGATGGACTTTTGCAGCTTGTAAGCTCGTTCAGCCCTTTGTAGATGCTCGTTAAGACCGAAACTGTGAGGCCGACTATACAACCCTTGGCCATCATACTTGCCATCTTGAAGGTGCCTGGGCGAATTATGTCGACGTCGCCATTGGGGAGGACGAACGTGCATATCCAACATGAGAGATACGCCGCCAAGTGAATTTCTTCTTGCAGCTTCAACTCGATCACAACCATCTTCTTGAACAATTGATCTTCGGCGGAGGTCCAGCGTCGATGTTCTTCAAAAGTGTCGGGCGGATTATGAGTTGACTTGAGGCGAATGACTCTCTTCTTCTCTCCGTTCCTCTTGTCGGTACGATTGGGAGGTTATCTGTATTTGATAGTCTTCTTCGACAAAAAATGAACCCATCGATCAATTGACACTTGTCCATTGTCGGATTCTTTCCACAGTAGTAGATGATAGGCGTGGAAGAGGTACCGGCAGCAACGAGGAAGGCATAAATTCTTATCTTTGTTGGTCCCGACCAGCTCACTTGCATCCGACACCACCTCGTCGAAGATGAACCCGCTCAACGGAAGTCCTGCCAATGTGTGAAGATCCCATAGCGAAATTGAAAGCTCCCCGGATGATGTTAAAAGCGTGTTGGTAGAAGGACACCATGCCTCGCAAAATGCCTTGATAATCTCAGGATTGCAGTCGTATGTGAAGAGCAAGGCGTAAACAGCATCATAAACCTCTACCTTGATCAGGTTGCTTTTGCATCGGCTAAGTATGTCTTCAGTCCATTCCCAGTACCCTCGCGTGTAGTGGAATTCACCGGCAAAATTGATGGCTTCTCCCCATGCAGCTTCACCACGTGTGATACGTCGTCCTAGAGTAGGCAATGACAACGGCTCTGTCTCGTTCTGCGGGTTGTGGTGAGTCGCTTGTAAGATCCATGCTTTTGACTTCCTATAGGCACACTCTTGAGTCCACTCGGTCACAGAGTTTGCAACTTCTGGCCACGTCTTCGAAAAATCACCAGTGATTGGTTCTTCAAC